AAACTTAACAGCACCAATAATGGTATAAACTGACATTATATGCCTTCCAGCGTGATGTACTGAGAAGGGTAAGACAAATGATTATGCAATATTCTTGTCAAAAGAACCCAAACAAAATTTAATCATGAAGAAATATCAGAAAAGAAAAACTAAGGAGCATTCTACCAAACAATTGACCTGTGCTCTTGAAAATTTTATTTTTATGATGACAAAGACTGAGGGAACAGTTCCAGATTTATTTAACACTAAAAAGACTTAGGAATTAACTGCAATTTGTGATCCCAGTTTGAATCTTAGATGAGGAGAAATAATGAAGGCATTATTGGGACAACTATGTGAATATGGACTGTCTATTAGATAATATAATATAAATTTGCTGAATTTGGTAAACATTATAGTTGCATAAGAGAATGTTCTTGTCCTTAGGAAATAAAATCTGAAGTATTTCTGGGTAAAAGGGCTTGGTGTCTGCAACTTAATTTCAAATGCTTCAGAAAAAAATAATTTTACACACACATACATGGCTACACTGAAGGGAGGGGAATGTGGCAATATGTTAAGAATTGTTCAATCTGGGAAAAATATACAAGAGTTCTTTGTACTATACTTGCAAATTTAAAATTAAAAAAAAAGTTAGACCTGAGGGAAATAATCAAATGCAACATGTGAACCTTGATTGGATCCTGAATCAAGGGGGAGAAAACGGTTATAAAAGACGTTTTGGGACAACTGGGCTTATGTGAACATGGACTGCATGTCCAGTGATACTATGGATTGAATTGTGTCCCCCCTAAAATGTGTGTCAACTTGGCTAGGCCATGATTCCCAATATTGCGTCGTTGTCTACCATTTTGTGATCTGATGTAATTACCTACGTGTTGTAAATCCTAACCTCTATGATGTTAATGAGGGAGGATTAAAGGCAGTTATGTTACTAAGGCAGGACTCAATCTACAAGATTAGGTTGTATCTTGAGCTAATTTCTTCTGGATATAAAAGAGAGAATTGAGCAGAGGAGAAGGAACTCATACCACCAAGAAAGAAGGGCCGGGAGCGGAGTGTGTCGTTTAGGCCCAGGGTCCCTGTGCTGAGAGGCTCCAAGACCAAGGGAAGTTTGATGACAGAGATCTTCCCCCAGAAATGACAGAGAGAGAAAGTCTTCCCCTGGAGCTGGCACCCTGAATTCTGACTTCTAGCCTCCTAGACTGTGAAAGAATAAATTTCTGTTTGTTAAAACCATCCACTTGTGGTATTTGTTTTAGCAGCATTAGATAACTAAGACAAGTGGCATCATTGGGGGTGTGTGGGGGATGAAGACTGTCCTGGGTGACACCAAAATGACTGTCTATAAAATTTTTGTGCAGCGTTTCGGCAGAAATTTATTACTTTTTTTAATAAAAATATCCCTGTAGTTAGTTAAACAACAAAAACATTTTTGCTAAGCCTGGTTTACATGTATCAATATACCTACCCTGGTGGCGCAGTGGTTAAGAGCCTGCTACTAACCAAACGGTCAGCAGTTCAAATCCACCAGCCGTTCCTTGGAAACCCTATCGGGCAGTTCTACTCTGTTCTATAGAGTCGCTACAAGTTGGAATTGACTCAACAGCATTGGGTTGGGTGGGTATAAGCCTAAAACTCTATACTAATTTACTTTTGAACCTTCTAATGTGCTTCGGTGAGAGCTGTCATTATTACTCAATTACAATGATGTTTCAAATCATGTGGTTTCGTCTGCACCATGCTACAAGCATGTGCTGTCGTTTCTGTTGCAGCCAGTGTTTTTTATAGGCACTGATTTTGTCAAATTTTTTGGTGTTTTAGCTACAGTACTGTGGTAATTAGCATTGGATGGGTGATGTCACGAGTTACTGCACTGGGTGGCACCAACCCTCGTGATGCCACCATGCATGTCTGATATACTACTGAATTAATGTTAATGTATTAGATATTTAATAGTGGTATTGCCATTATCTAAGAGAATGTCCTTATTCTTAAGTGATGCATGCTGAAGTTTTTAGGTCTGAAGTATTATGGTATCTGCATCTTACTTTCAAAAGGCTTAGCAACAACAAAAAAGTAAACAGAGATAAAACAAACGCAGTGAAATGTTAAAAAAGATTAGTGAATTTAAGTGAAAAGAATATGGATATTTCTTGTACTATTCTTTCAACTTTTCTGTAGGTCTGAAATTTTTCGAAACAAAAAGTTGTTGGAATATACCAATGAAAGCATTTTAATGGCCTCAATGACACTCTGAATCAACAACATAGCAATGTATTAAAAAACATAATCTATACTGGTAGCATTGTTACAAAAAGCAAAATGTCTTTTTAACAAAAAAATCTAGTAAATCTAAAACAACCCTCTCTCAAAAAAAAAAACCTACCAAACCTCTGAGCAAAACAACTGATCATACTCTCTTTATGAATTTTATCCAAGAATTCCTGAAATAATGAATACACAGTAATATCAGTAAGATTGCTTTTATTATATTTTTTAAAAATTTATCTTCTTCTGATAATCCATTCTATTTTTAAGATTAACAAAAAAAAAAAGGATTTTAGGCAACATATTCCAATGAGCAGTCAAGCACTTTCCTATTATGAATATGAAAATAAAAAACCATCTTTATTTTTACACATAAATAGGTGAATAAGTAGACATTTTAAGGAAAATATTTATTCCTATGCTGGTTTAGATTCAGCTTAACAGACTCAGAAGACATTGTTCCAGATCCATTACATATTTAGAGATACAAATTACTTTAAGAGGAGTTCAAGTAAAAAACAGGTAAAATCATTTGAAAAATAAAAAACATTTTAGAACTTTTAAGCCATTGACTATTTAAAACTGTTTGCAACTGTTCCCATTCATTAGCATATATTGAAGATTTACCTATAGCTCTTAAATCATCTTTTACTTTTTCTCTTTTTCTCTTTACAAGTTTCACTCTGTAGTGGCACACTTCTAAAACTATTAGAAAATAGGACTAACATTTATTGTCATTATCATCATTCTCATTCTCACTATCATCAATGAGGAAAAAAATAGAATTAGCTGCAGTAATCAGATGCATTATCCCATTTAGTTCTTACACTAATCCTGTGTGGTGGATATTAAGTTTAATTTTACAGATCAGAAAACTGAGGTTCACTAAAGTGACTTGTCTAAGCTCACGTAACTGTAGAGTTTTGCTGACAAAGGCATTATTTAGGGAAAATTAACTTGAACAGTGCCTAAACACTTAATAAATTAACTATTATTATTGGAAATCCCAATTAGTCTACTTTTCTCTTAATTTTTTTTTTTTTTTAACTGTTATAACTTGCATGTTCCTAAAGAGAGGAACTCCTGAATGGGACAAAATATCAATTTTTTAATACAGAGTGAATTACTTTCCATTCTTCAATACATATCTGTCAATCTTCCTTATAATTATTTTTTAACAAAACGTACTCCTCTAGTTAGTATACAGAAACTTTTGTTGCAATGAATACAGTTTTAAATAAATGGGGCTATAATCTTTCACTGTAACTAAGATAGTTAAGACTAAAATGTGATAGCCAGCTATTCCTTTGTTTAGGTTAAGTATTCTATTTAATGGCTTTATGTTTAAATAAATTAGGCTATGTAACACTGTTACACTATATTCCCTTTATCCCAATTAGGACTCTTAAGAAGTTTTAACCTTTTACAAAGACAGATAAAGCATCTCCAATGAGAAATGCCACAGTTCTCCCACCCCCTTTCTTCTTTTGGTACATTATTTTACTTCTTATATTATTTCTGGTATATTTCTAATTTTGAATTCTAATCATTCTTATACCATTCTCATTTAACAGACACTTGTGCAAGGATGGAACTCTGGTGGCGCAGTTGTTAAGAGCTCAGCTGCTAACCAAGAGGTCAGCAGTTTGAATCTACCAGCCACTCCTTGGAAATACTATGGGGCAGTTCTATTCTGTCCTATAGGGTTGCTAAGAGTCAGAATCGACTCCACAGCAACAGGTTTGGTTTGGTTTTCAGTTTTTACAAGGATAATTAATATGCTTTCTATGTGATTATCCTTCTTAGAAGGATATACACAGGAAAAACTATACAATACATAAATCTCCCACAGGCCACAACTTACTGCAGGCTTTAACTGGAAATGTACTTGAATGTATCTTTCAAATATTTACTTATTTACTTTTATTTCCTCTTTCATTCAGTTAACCACATTCACTTTTACCTACTCTAATGTTGTTAGTTGGAAGAAATTCGGTAGATAAAAGAAAAAAAAAAAAGGATTCCTATTTATAATTTCCTCAAGGAGCAACTAATTGAATGTCTTTATCCCCCATCCCAAAAAAACCTTACTACAGAACTTAATGAGAGGTCAACTCCCTATTAGTGACTGACTACAATTAAAAATACACGTGATAAAGTGACAGACATCAACTGTGCTGTTTATGTAGATGAGATTTAAAGGGCTGACAAAAAACACATGATATTTACACTCTCCTTGGTACCTGTATTTTCCCCAAAAACTAAAAGAAAATAAAAATTTTTTTAAAAAATAAGAATTCAACAGGGGCTAATTTTTTCTCAAGAAATCATCTCTCCTCAAAATAGATTCACTATAATATTGTAGGTTTCATATAACCTAGGTTGACTCCAGTAATTTTAAAACCTGGAAATTCTCTAGACATTCTTTCTGATTTCAGATTGCCAAGAGTAAGAACTACATTTTTAAAGTATTAAAATTATGTTGTTGTTGCTCTGTGCTATCCAGCTGATTCCGACTCATAGTGACCCTACAGGACGGAGCAGAACTGCCCCACAGGGTTTCCAAAGAGTGGCTGGTAGATTCGAACTGCCGACCTTTTGATCAGCAGCTTGAGCTTTAACTACTTTGCCACCAGGGCTTAAAATCACAAATTCTTAAAAACTTAAAACTCTTCTGTTTTCAAGAAACATATATGCAAACTCTTAATACAGAACTATATAGTACTCACCGTTTGATGCTGATGAACATGGAGTCAACAAACTAAGTGGGGAAAAATGTTGTCTGTTAAAGTTAGCAGCTGTGGGTGCTCCTCCAAGGGGTGCGCCAGGTCCATATATTTGACCTCCTGAAAGGTTTGAGGCAAAGTTTCCCAAATGTGTAGAAGAAGGTGTTACAGAACCATATGGTGAATCCATATTGACAATACCTATAATGTAGATCATAATAATTTATAATAGTTACACTCTAGGAGAAATAATTAAGACAATCCTAAAATCCCAAGAGGCCCCTAACATATCCCAAAATATTTTAGATTATTTATGAAATTTCTCATTGGTCCATTTTTTTTCAGTCCACTGAGACCTCATTTTCCCCATTATTTTATAAAAATAGCTTAAAAAAAAAAAAAAGATAATTATCAAGGAAATTTTTTTTTATATTTAATTTTAATATTTGTTTTTCTATTAGCTATTGTAGAACACATGTAGATTTAGTATCAATACTGGATTCTAAATAGCTACAGTACTGAAATTTAATAGTTAAACAGTTAATGACCAAGGAGTTTTATAAAAATCTACCTATAAAAAGCTGTAGGAGAAAAAACGGCTATAGATATTTCTCTACTATGGAGAGATTTGACGATTAGCTTTCTATAGCCCATAGTGGGACAGTCATCGAGTGCCTCCTGATAGAAGGCAGTGTGAAGTTCAAAACATCACCTATCTGATGCCAAAATGTTTGACCTGAATCTAATCATGAGGAAACAGGCAAATCAGAAATGTGGGACATTCTGCAGGACAATTGGGCTCTTCAAAGAATTCAATGTCAAGAAGAACAGAGAGAGATAGTGGGGTGCTCTAGACTAAACAACCAAACCAAAACTGTTGCTGTCGAGTCAATTCCGACTCATAGTGACCCTACAGGACAGAGTAGAACTATAAACTGCCTCACAGAGTTTCCAAGAAGCAGCTGGTGGATTTGAACTGCCAATCTTCTGGTTAGCAGCTCAACGCTTACCTACTGGTGCCACCAGGGCTCTAGACTAGTGGAGACCAAAAAGATATAACAACCAAAAGCAATACATGAACCTTCACTGGATTCTGGATCAAAAGAAGGAAAAAGAGAGACACAGGCATAAAGGATATACCTGGGATAATGGCAATGTATGTTGGATGCTGTTACTGAATTAATGTTGGTTTTCTTGTGTGTAGTACTAGTGTTGTAGCTGTGAGTGGACATCCCTGTTTGGGGAAGATGCATGCTGAAGTAGTTAGGGGTGAGTGTCATAACGTTTGAAACTTACTTTCCCATGACTTGACAAATAGCGGGGAGGAAATGAAAGAAGACAGAGAGAAGAATAAAAAGAAGGGGGAGAAAGAGCAAAGAAGGATAGAGAATGAGGGTTGAAAATATGTTAGAAATTGGAGAATTATGAGGGAGTATACAAGTGAGTGTTATTTTGTTTTATCTGTTCCTTAAATTTTTATGTGGTTTAAAATTTTTAAAAAATAAACACTATAAAAATAGATCTGAGTCTAAAATATAAATGGTCAAATCATTTACATATGACAGACAAGCAAATAAAGAAAAATATGTATGGAACACAAAATGAACTAGGAAAATTGAGAGAGAGGAAAATTAAGATTTGGAAGAAGTTCGGGAGAAAATAAAAAAATATGCTTCCTATGTAATATGTAAGTAGGGTGAATATTTTTAACTCTAAATGACCTGAATCTAGCAATATTTCCCTTTGATGGACTTTGAAACTGAATATCATTTTGACTCTAATCAACTGTACATCCCAAAAAAACCTCCCCACTCTAGAGAGCTGGTACTCTCTCTAGACTTTCCCATTAAACAAACAAACAAACAAAAAACCTATTTCCTTTTCTCTAAATCTTATGTTTATTCTTTCTAAACACACCATAGAGATTACCACATTTTTGGAAGGTGAAGTAGTTCCACTAAATTCCACCTACCATAAAAATGAAATTTAAAATCATTTTCCATGCATTATGTATGAGGCTCTTTTAAAATATAATTACATTGATTCTATTGTTTTTAGTACTCAAGAGAAATTGTTTTTAAAGTATACATGAATATGTCAATCAACCCTCAGCAAAGAAATAATTACTGGTCATGTTCATTATATTTTATTTACATTTTACACACAGAAATAGATTAAAGTAACACCCAGTTCCCACTAAACTTGAAAAATTAAGTCCCAGAATATCATCTCCACAATAGCATAGATCAAGGGTTGGCAACTTTTCTGTAAAGGGCCAAATACTACAAAGTATTTTAGGTTCGGCAGGCTTTTCGCTCAATTACTCAACTTTGCCTTTTTATCATGAAAGTAGCCATACATAATATGTAAATGAATGGGTATGGTTGTGTTTGAACAAAACTTTATTTATGAACACTGATGTTTGAATTTCATAAGATTTTTTTGTGTCACAAAATATTATTTACCTCTTGGTTTTTTTTTTTAACCATGTAAAAATGTAAAAACAGACAGCAAGCTAGATTTGGCCCACAGGCCATAGTGTGTCAATCTCTGGCACACCAAAACCAAAAAAAAAAAACCCCATCAAGTTGATTCCAACTCATAGCGACCCTACAGGACAGAAAAGAGCAAGGAGAAGCTAGAGGATTACGAACCACCAACCTTTCTTGGTTATCAGCAGTAGCACTTAACCACTACACCTAATTACCTGAAATGCTCATATTAAAAAACAATAATCTAAATGCAACTTAGTATTCTGGACTGGATCCTGCAACAAAAAAGGGGCATCATTGGAAAAACTGGTGAAATCTGAGTAAAATCTATAGCCTCATTAAAGATACTGTACCCATGTTAATTTGATTTTGATAAATGTACCATGGTTATGTGTTTCCATGAAGGGAAGCTAGGTGAAGGATACATGGGGATTCTTTTATAAATTATTTCAAAAAAAAAAGTTTAAAAAAAAAAAAAAAAAAAAGCAACAGCTTACAAGATCCTTAGGTTCTCTGTATAAATCAACGTTGTCCAATACAACTTTCTGTGATAATGATAATGTTCTATATCTGTGCTATCCAATAATGGTAGCTACTAGCTACATGTGCCTATTAAACATCTGAAATACAGCTAACATGACTGAGGAAATTAATTTTGAATTTTAATTTTAATTTAAATAGTATATGTGGCTAGTGCCTATTGTATTAGATAGTTCAGCTCTATGTTCTTCTCATTATTTAAAAAAAAACACAAAGATAATCAGGAATGAAAATCCAATTTTTTAAACCTTTGTTAATTATTTTGTATTTGAAATAAAAGCAAACTGATGTCATTACCTTATTAAATTAAAACATGACTTTTTTTTGAGAGAGAAAAATGCCTGATGAAATTTATTTATTGGAAACTCAAGATGAAATCCACTGTAGCTTTTCAAAAAGATTAAACATAATAACATCCATAGTAAACACACATAATACTACAATAGCATTTGCATTAGCCAAATACGAGAATCTCTGTCCACATGGTCCAGTCATAGAGTAAAAACAATCAGAAACTGAGCAAGGGTTTTCACATCACCTATGTAACTGAACAGCTGCAGAGCTGCAGAATGTCAGAAAACACAAACTCACCTGAGGGACTTGGAGCGGGTCTCTGTAATGGTGGTCTGAAACCTGGAGCTTTGGAAGTATCAGGCTGATGTAAAGGATCTGAATTTGGCAAATATGAGGATTTTCCTGATAGCACAGATTCTGGTGTTGACTGAGATGAAACAACAGATCCTCCCCAGAAGGCATGAGCAGAAGTAGGGCTGTTTTCAAACAATGTGCTAAAGGGCCCAAATGGTAAGGGGGCACTGAAATTCGGAGCAATAGGCTTATTTGCTGGATGTACTGAATTCTGACAAGCACTTTGTGTACTTAAGGTCGAAGGTAGCTGGACAGAAGAGGGAACACTGTGAGGTCTTTTAATGTGATTGACACTGAGGACTGCAACAGATGAATTCTGCACTGGAGCTAGATTCTTGTGAGGGGCAGTTGTGCCATGAGAGGGTGGTCTAATAGCAGGGGTTTCCATTTTAGGAGCAGGCTGGGAACATCCCACTTGTGTCTGAGGCATAGGGTAAGTCACTGGGGCAGTAGAAGGCACCGCCACTGGAGCAGAACTTGTTGCTAAAGGAGGAACAGTCATTCTGACTTCCGGGGCAGGAACCTGAGACTGCTGGAGAGGTGGCCTTGGCTCCTGAGAAACAGATCCCGGAGGCTGCTGTTGGTTAGAATGAACTGATGAACTCCCAGAAGAAGTGCTGTTGTTTGGTCTACCGTTTGCTGTTTCTACTACTGGTGGACTACCTGCTTCTTGTTCAGAGGAAGATGCTCCTTTATTTGGAGATGCTGTTCCACAATCCAATGGGCTGTTTCTAGAAACCCCTCCTGGCTGAGCTGGTGGAGATGGGGAAGATGGGGATGATACTGGGTAGTGTTCTTTGGCAGTAGGCATAGGATATGTGGCATTTGTGGGTGCAGTGCTGTTGTTGCTTGCTGTGGTTGTGACTGTTGTGGTGGTGGCATTGGATGTCTTCACAACTGTAACAAAGAGCTGCCTTCTGACTGAAGGTGAACTTGGACTGCCATTTGTGGATGTACCAGGCACCGTTGAAGCTGATGAACTGGTTGTAGTTGTTGGACTTGAAGTTAAAGAACCTGCTGAATTCACCTGAGAACCACTGCTATTCTGATTGCTATGGCGAGGCACCATGTGAGGCTTAGGCGAGTTAGTAGCTCTGGCAGGGCTCAAAGGCCTGACAGGAAAAGGACCCCAAGTGGACTGAGCTGGTGGAAAAGTACCTCCAAAGTGGGTCATGGGCAACCTTGGTGGCCGGATCTGCTGGAAAGTCTGAGCAAGCAAAGCATGTGCTAACTGTGGAGGAGGATATGCTAATGGTAGAGAAACTGGAAAACCAGGCCTCACATTATTCACTGGGTTCTTAATGGTTTTGTGAGTGGATGCAGAAGAAATTGCAGGCACAGTGAGTGCTGTGGCAGTCTGAGATGTTGATGAGAGAGCTACAGTTGTCATTTTAATTCCCATTAGGGAACTGTTAGCAGCAGTGGTGGTAGGTGCTGATGACCCTATTTTGGAATTTGCAGAGGAGCTTTTCAAACGGTTCTTTGGAATAAGTTCATCAATTTCTTTGTCTGGATCCTTGATCAGAGCACTGATTAACTGAGTTGCTTGTCTTGTTGACTCAGTGCCACCCCTAAAAGTTAATTAAAAAAAAAATTAGGTCCAATTCCCTCTACTTTTTAATACGTATAAACTAAATTTACCCTGTATGTATGTGTATACATATGGAGAACAGATAACAGAAGTTAGGTAGCAATTTTCTAATCATCCTTGAGCTATTCTGCAAACAAAGCAATAAGCTACACTGAATTACCACTATATTTTTCAAAGAAGTAGTAAACGAGTTATTTGCCATAAATTCCTTTACTATTATTTCCTTATGGGGCAGTTCTACTCTGTCCTATAGGGTCGCTATGAGTCAGAATCGACTCGACAGCAGTGCGTTTGGTTTCTTTTGGTTTTTACTGTTTCCTTAAACAAAGAAACCATTTTCCACTGTAATATACATTAGTTAGAAAACCACTGCACTTAAAAGCCTCTATAATCCGTAATATTACTGTAAATTTAAAGTTAATCAATATTAAAAATAATACAAGTAAATAAGGAAAATAAGGAAATAGTATTTTATCTTAAATCCTGGCACTTCAGATGACCTCATCTACATATTCACCAGTGGTTTTTCTATGAGTAAGATGATTGTTATAATCCCTCTGGAAAGATGTCTCAAAATGAGAGAGGAATCCTGATAATGCCAACAATGTCCACAAGGTCAAACCCGACTGATGGATCTTCAGGCAAAAATTTGATTGCAAGGAAAGCCTTATGAGTATCTTCTTCCCTCTTCTCTAGATGCACCAGGTTGTGGCTAGCCAATTATTACAGGAGAGGGAAAAACAATATAGAAGGAGAGGAGGATGAGTAGAAAACAGAGATGATTAATTGTCTCCTTCCTTCTGAAGCAAGCTAAAACCATCAACTTTCTGCAAAGGCATCTGCCTGTCCCAAATAAACTTAAAACTGCCATCCAAAAGCATATGGAACTCTTTCAAAAGAACTTAGATTTACTTTAAAGTCATTAAATTACATCTTTATACATTCTTAAAATTTGTTAGAATATCATCTTTATTTTAAGGATATTCGGGCACAGACCTGTTCAATGACTTATTCAAGATAAGTAAATTTTTACTTCATATTTAAATTACTGAGCTTGTATCATATCCTAAGGTTACAATCAAAGAATAACAAATCTCAAATGTTAATCTGAGAGAAAGATGGAAACTCGCTTACAATGTGGTAGAAACTTAAAAACCAAACCAGTTGCCGTCAAGTCAATTCTGACTCATGGCAACCCCGTGTGTGCCAGAGTAGAGCTGCACTCCATAGGGTTTTCAAGGCTTTCAGAAGCAGAGGCCAGGACTTTCTTCCGAGGTGCCTCTAGGTGGGTCCGAGCCATCAACCTATCAGTTAGTAGCCGAGTGCTTAACAGTTGACACCACCCAGTGACTTCTTGTTAGAAACTTAATCCTTCTTAAGTCTCAGAACAAATTTTTAAGAATGTTGTATGAGCAGTTCCTGTATGAAAAAGATAATCTCAACCTTTCCCTCACAAAAAAGAAACAAAGCTTCCTTTAAAGCCCTTTAAAACACTTTACAAGAGCCTAGTATTAACTAAAAAAAAGAAAAAAAACCTAAAAGTTCCTGTACTTATCTGTTATTAAACTCAAAGTTCCATCAAAAACTCAAATGGTTCTATTTCATCAAGCTACAATGCAATAAAACTGAAAGGAAGAAAATATAAGAGACATAAAGTTTTGCCTTATAGTTATAATCCGGTCTCCCGTCTTGTCTTTCTGCTTGTCAATATCTATGTGTGCACCAGTGAACTCTCGAATGGCATTGATATTACAGCCTCCTCTTCCAATCACTCTGGATATCACAGTCGATGGAACAGATACTTTCTTTGACCTTTTTAAAACAAAAATTGCAAAGATAAATTAAGATAAATCACTCATATCAGTGATTGTGTTTAAAATAAGGAGAGAGATTACTAAATATGTTTCTTTAAATACATATGTAATAGACTATTGGTGAATAAGCCTCTTCTAACTATTCTCACTATAGGTGAACAAGTAGACAGCAACTAGGAAAAATAAATAAAAGTAAACTAATGAATGAATAAATGTATAAATAAATCAGTAAATTAGAAGCTTTACTTTAATTTCTTATCACCAAAGATTGATCGTTTGCTTTCCTGACTTTCATTCTTCACTTGTTTTATTTCCCCTAACAGCTTCATTGAGTTATCATTTACATACCATAATGTTCACCTGTTTTAAGAATATAATTTAATGGTTTCAAGTATATTTACAGAGTTGTGCAACCATCACCATAATCTAATTTCAGAACATTTTTATCATCCCCCAAAGGAACCTTGTAAACATTAGTAGTTAAGCAGTCAGTCCTTATCTTCCTTCCGCAGGTAACGTAAAGCTTTTGTTTTCTTTTTTTTTAATTTTATTTATGTTGTTGTTGTTTTTGCATTGTTCACTTACATTTGTAAAGTAAAGCACCTACTAGGTAGACATCTACTGAGCTAATGCAAATATGAATAGCAAATAAAATAAGCATGGGTTCCTGCCCATGTATACTAACTAGACACCACATAAGAAAACTTTTTTAACACCATGTCATGAGTGTTCTAATAGGGCTATCTTAAAGGCATACAGGTGGGGACAGCCAATTTAGCCTGAGAAATATAAAGAAAAATGGCTTCTTGTGGGCACCTTTCAATGTTTTATTCACATTTCTCTCTATCTTCTAATATCTAACTGAAATGATGATATTAAAATTTCATTGTTTCCCTGCATTTTTCTAGAGTCATTAAAATAATTATCCACAAATTTGGAAATTCACTGAGGGATGTTTAGTAGTGCAAGGAAAGAGAAACTCCTATTGGAATTTTTTTGAAAAGCAAAACTCATCTAACACTTGCAAAATTACATTATAATCTTAAACATTCAGATTTAGGAAAGGTAGATACAAATTTCTGAAAAGTCTGAATTAAAAAATTCTTCTAAAAGAAATACACTGTAGTTCTCAGTAAGGAGAATCAGCCACATATATAATAAAGAATATTAGTCAATTTATTTGGAATGGCAGATTGAAAATTCATATTATAATGCTGTATGTTTTAAAAGGTAGGGTCTGATCCTTGACCTTTCATATACACAACTAAGTTACTTGGTGATTCTTTTTTCCATAAAGGGCATAATAATCAGCTAGCATCATTTCCAAATTAGTTAAGAATTGTTTTTTATACCACAATGTAAAATGGATGAAGAAAAACTGAATTACCTTACTTTATTCCTGGTACAGAAGGTACTCTGATGTTCTGATTTCAATTAGTTCAATAGAGTATGTGAATGAGTGTATGGTTAAGACAGAGAGAGAGGTTGGTTTTGGTCCAAAATATGATTTACAAAACTACAGTGCATTTTGGGATTAACAGCAATAAGTCTGGTTCATTACAGCTCTTGTTTCAAATATTCAAAGTTAATATTTTTGATGGAATTTCTGGAAAGCTCTTTAAAATAGGTCATTCAAGACTTATATCACATCCTTTCCAGGTTTGTGAAATATTACTGTCAAACCTTTGGTTTCTGGGATGCTGAGCTCCTACTCTTTGACATATAATTGTTAAAAAATTCCAAGTAAAATATTTTTATCCTGAAACCCTTGAGAGAAATAAATGTAACTTACAATTTAAAAACAGGATTAGATCAACAATTTAAAATCAGTAATTATTCATTCCTTAAATATTTACTACATGTCTACTACACAATGGGCTCTGGGGATACAAGGCAGAATAAGACACAATCTACAACCTTAAAGAACTTAGACTAATTTTTAGCAAATTTCCGTATCCACGGGGACAAATCAGATACTATAAGTAGCTAACTTTTCATGTAAATTCTCCCAATTTTAAAGTATTGACAGATTTTTTTTTCATCTAAAATATGGTGCCATCTCTGTTACCCAAATTCAGTCTTGGGCCACCGGTTTGTTTGCAACCACTGGACAAGCAAGATGAATTTAACAATTCACTGTGAAATACAGCATGTATAAAGAATGAGAAAAACAACCAAAAAATCAATCACTTGGACTTCTGGCAACATGGCCCTCGAGGCAGAAGCACCACGCTGTCCCTCCAGAGCAAAGATCTGAAAAACTAAGCCAAACAGAGAAAACAGCAATCCTGAAACCCTAAACATCAAATGAAGAGATAAAGAACTCAGCCAAGCACCAAATGGAATAAGAAAATGACAGAGAACAGAGAGCAAGGAGACATACATGCAGAGGTCCCCTATCAGCTAACGCAGCATGGATCTGCCATCTTGGACTCCTATCAGAGACCAGCGAACGGGGGTACGAGAAAGCAGCTTCACAGAGCTTCCAGCAGGAGACAGAATAACTGGTAACCAGCGATATACTTTCCCACCCCCCACCCTTCTTCACCCCCACTCGGCCTCCTCTGCTTCCCGCAGCCACAGTCTCTTGGCTGGGAAGCACTAGCTGCTTGGATTCCACCTGCCTGCACTGGCCAATTGGATTCCACCCACCTGCACTGGCTGACAACATGAGTGCTATTTGTTGGCTGCTGGTGTTTTTTTCCCACTTCCTTTGATTTCTTCCTTACCTCTCACCACTTCCCCCTCCTTTCACTCAAATACCTGGCTCAGTGCGCCACATTTGCTTCTTCGTGAAAGGCTGTGAAACTCCACTCAAATGGGAAACTGCTTCCCGGTCCGTTCTGCCACACTGCTGGGATCCTGGGGCTTTTTGTTTGTTTGTTTTTAATTGTTTGTTTATTTTTCTTTTCTTGAATTGAGAGCCCGTTCTAGCTGGGCAGTACTGCGTGGCTTGGGACCTACCCCCTCACCTCGCACAGATGCGCAGAGGGATCCCTGAGGACATTTCTTTTTTTGTAGTTTTTTTTTTTTTTTCTGTTTTTTTTGGGAGATTTTCTTGTTCTTTCTTTTTATAAATTTCTCTTGTTTTCTTTTTCCCTTTTTGTCTTTCTTCATTACTCAGTTTCTTATCTCTCTAAACCTTCCTTATCTTCTTGTCCCCAAATACCTGATGCTGAGTGACATCTCTATGCCTTCTAGCCAGGCTATACTTCAACACCTGGGAACAACTTCCCCAGACCTCATAGCTGCACCAGTGGGATCCTTGGGAGTTTTTCTTTTCTTTCTAATTTTCATTTATTCATTCTTTTCTTTTTTTTTTCTTCTTCCCCTTTTTTTCTCCATTTCATAGTCTCTCATCTCTCCACTCCAAAGGGAAGCTCCCCTAGCATTCTTTTTCGTTTGTATGTTCTTGGCTCCTGTTCCTCTCTCTTCCCTCCCATACCCATCTTAGCTCCACACATCACAATCTCCCCTGTCCATCCTGCCTATCTGCACCGTGAGCTTAACATAACACCACCAAGTAGCACACACACGGACTACCAGAACCTGCCCTGCAGTGATTACCAGCTCAACCTGGTGACTGTAGTAAGTGCCACAAACAACCCATCCCAGCAACTCCTCTTCAGCAAGACCTGCCCTGCTATACCATATCTGAGCAACTGACCCTGCTAATTGGATAAGGAGGCGAAAAGTATCATGCCCACAGATGAGCAAACAACAAAGAACAGACAGCCCGCCTGCTCAGACATAGCCAAATAAAACAAAAAACAGGATGAAACAAACAAATCTACAATCAGTAAACGAGAAAAATAACTACCGAATGCCCCGAAGACAGCAAACAACATCAAACAATTTACAAAAACAGGACAGGATGGTTCCAGTAGGCGCCCAAAATAAAACACCCGATGACTTTCCAGTAGAAGAAAAGGGACTAGAACTACCTGATAGGGAATTCAAATCTGTAATACTCAGAATCATCAAAGAGTTGAAGCAAAAGGGAGACAAAAATGAGGAAAAAATAGACAAATTCATAGAAAAGGCAGACAAATTGATGGAAAATACAGACAAAAAAATGGAAGAATTCAGGAAAATAATGCAGGAACAAAATTCCAAAATAAACTCACAACCAGAAATTATACAAAAATAACAATTAGAAATCCAAAAGAGAAACAACAAGATTTCAGAAATGGACAGTGTCACAGAAGGCCTGAGAAGCAGACCTGAAATGGTGGAAGACAGGATCAGCAGAATTGAAGACATACACTCGGCTACAACTCTGTTTGAGGAAAACTCATTAAAAAAACGGAGAAAAATGAAGAGACCCTGAGAATTATGTGGGATACAATCAAAAGCAAAAATTTGGGAGTGACTGGAGTTCCAGAACAGGGGGAGAAAACAGAAAACAGAGAGGATCATCGAAGAACTGCTGATAGAAAACGTCCCAAATATCATGAAAGATGAAAAGCTGGTCATCCAAGAAGCTCAACGAACTCCATAGGGGATAGACCCCAAAAGAAAATCTCCAAGGCATATCATAAACACACTCGTCAAAACCAAAGACAAAGAATTCTGGGAGCAGCTTGTGAAAAACAAGAAGTCACATACAGAGGAGAAACAATAAGACTAAGCCCAGATTATTTGGCAGAAACCATGCAGGCAAGAATGCAACGGTAGGACATACATAAAACATTGGGAAAAAAAAAAATGCCAGCCAAGAATAAAATATCCTGTAAAACTCTTGTTCAAATATGATGGTGAAACTAGGACATTTCCAGATAAACAAAAATCAAGGGAATATATAAAAACCAAACCAAAATTACAAGAATTATTAAAGGGAGTCCTTCGATCTGAGAATAAACAACTTCAGCTCACAGGCTAAATCTAGGATGTAGGATCATACCAGCCAGAAACCAATCTAGGAAATTAACTATCAAGGACTATCCAAAACAAAAAGAAATACAATAAGGAATCAGAGCAGTTAATCTGTAAATGACA